CAGTTGATTGAAAATTTGATTCTCATCAATTATTTAAAATATTTCATAATTTGTCATAATTTTTTATGTTTTTAAAAAATAAAATATATTAAAAAAATAAAAAACAAATAAAATTATATCATATTATAGGTTTAAGTACCATTTTAGTCCCTCAACTTATCACTTTGGTACCAAAATTGTCCCTCAGCTTTAAAAAGTACCAAAATTATCCTTGAATTTTCATTTTTGGTATCAAAATGGTCCTTCCGTCAGTTAAGTGGACAGGTGGCATGTTAAAATGCCACAAAATCACTGCTTTTTTTTACTTTTAATGACGTGTAAATCCAGCAAACAAAATTTTGCTACCGTGGCATATTTTTTCCACGTCAAATTGCTCTCCCTTTTTAGATTCAATTTTTGTGGGCCCCACATGAAAAATTATTTTCCTTTTCCAGTTTTAGTTGAGTTCCCGAAGGCCAAGCGAAAACAAAGCAATCAAACAAAGAAAAACTTCAAAATTGAAACACAGCAATCAAACAAAGAAAAACTTCAAAATTGAAACAAAGCAACCAAACAAAACAAGAAGCTAAAGAAACAGAGCAAAGAAAAACTAGCTTTACCATCCCAAACTTCAAAATTGATCAAACCAATCACCAAGAATATGAATTTCGTGCTCAGAGCTATGGAAATGAAGTGAAATTGTGAAATTACTCGAAGAAATGCTAGGGTTTGTTTCGCGAGGAACCCAGAAACTGGGTTCTTCAAGGAACCTCGCGTAACCTAGGTTCTGGGTTCGTCAAGGGTTCCTCACGAAACCCAGAACCTAGGTTCTTCGAGGAACCCAGAACTGGGTTCTTCACGAAACCCAGATTTGGGTTCCTTGACGAAACCCAGAACTGGGTTCTTCACGAAACCCAGAACTGGGTTCTTCACGAAACCCAGATCTGGGTTCCTTCACGAAACCCAGATCTGGGTTCCTCACGAAACCCAGAACTGGGTTCCTCACGAAACCCAGATCTGGGTTCCTCAAGGAACCCAGGAACCCAAAATTGAGTTCCTCAAGGAACTGGGTTCCTCAAGAAACCTAGCATCGGGTTAGGTTTCGCCACCCAACACCGGGCTGGGTTCCTCGCGGAACCAAGATTTGGGTTCCGCGAAGAACCAAGATGAACAAGAGGAAAACCCAGCATCGGGTTCCATGAGGAATCAAGATGATGAAGAGGAAGAGGATGGTGAAGATGGTGAAGAGAATGGTGAAGAAGATAAACGGTGAGATGATGATGCCGAGGATTAGGCTGAGGATGAGGCTGAGGATGAGGAGAAAGAAGAAGATTGATGAAATGAAAGTTAATTAACTTAATTATTTTAAAATTCATTTAATTTATAAATTCATTTTTATTTGACGTGGAAAAAATTATTTAAAAAAAAACTGCCATCTCATCACTTTCAGCATGATATGTTTTCCACGTAATTATTATTTGTTTAAGAATATGATTTTGTGGCATTTTAACGTGCCACCTGTCATTTAACTGACAGAAGGATCATTTTAGTACCGAAAATGAAAGTTTAAGGATAATTTTAATACTTTTTAAAGCTGAGGGATAATTTTGGTACCAAAGTGATAAGTTAAGGGACCAAAATGGTACTTAAACCCATGTTATATAATTTAAAACAAAAATTAATACATAAAAAATAAATTAAACTGTAGATAAAGATCAATCTACTTATAAATGATTTGCGACTTGCGAGGTTCTTTTAAACGTCAACAGTCAAAGAAGTGGCCGTAAGAAATTTTTTTAACAATAATCAGAAGTTTTACACAACTAATCCATTTAACATTTAAACAACCTATAAGAAAGCTCGTCGTGGTCAAAACTCAAAGGGTACGAAAAACCTAGCGTGCATCGTAGCATAAAATAATGCTTTTGAGTCTGCATAACAAAGCTTGATGGACATCCAAAATTCCTGCCCACATCACAGGATATACACAGCAGAAGCTTCCGCCGTGCCGCGTGCTTGAATGCCGACTGGGGAATCTTTCTTGACCAAGGAGAATATGTCTGTCTTGATATCAGTTGACAATGGGTATAATATTGTAGATTATTAGCGTCACGAATGTGTAAACACGAATGAGTATTCCAGCACATGACATTGGACTTATTAAACCTGCTTCCTATACGCATTGTACTTAGCCAACAAGAAATTAAGGAGCTTCCGTGAAAACAACCTCCATTATTTCGGAGACCCTACAATATATATTTATCATCTTTATCCTCAATTCCCCCTTTCATTCATTGCTTTCTTTTCACCATACACCATCATAGTTTCGTCAGGAAAAGTTAGATAAACCTATTGATTTCTCATCCTCAATTGCCTTCTATTCATCACTTTTATCAACCTTTCAAAAGCTAGAGTTTGCGTTGATTTTCTTCCAATATGTCGTCGGAAAAGATGTCTAATGTTAGGTCAAGGCCGACGGTTTCAAAGAAACTGTCACAAAAAGATGCTGGAACCCCGGAAAATAAAACTACAGCTTCGACGAGTGGAATCGTCGCTAACAATCAGCCGGAAACCCCAAAGACTCCATCTAGACGGTCGTCGTTCTCTCAACGGGCGATATCCCAGACCCTCACCAGCACGGCTAACCTCGCTAACCTCCTCCCGACGGGGACCCTCCTGGCGTTCCAGCTTCTCCTGCCAATCTTCACCAACAACGGCGCGTGCGACTCCGCCACGGGCCCGATGACCATGGTGCTCCTCCTCCTCCTCGCGCTCTCCTGTTTCCTTGCTTCCTTCACTGACAGCGTGAAGGCGTCCGACGGGCAGGTTTACTACGGGTTCGCGACGTTCAAGGGGATGTACTTGTTCGACTATCCGGATCCGGTGGGGTCGGATTTGCCGGACTTGAGCAAGTACCGGATCAGGTTAATCGACGGGGTTCATGCGGTGCTGTCTGTGTTAGTGTTTGGAGCCGTGGCGTTCAGGGATAAGAATGTTGTGAGTTGCTTTTACCCGTTGCCGGCGAAGGAGACACAGGAGGTTTTGGATATTGTTCCGGTGGGAATTGGGCTGATTTGCAGCTTGCTGTTCGTGGTTTTTCCGACCCGACGCCATGGGATCGGGTACCCTGTTACACCTGGCAAATAGTTGAAATAATTTGTTTTTTATTTTTCTTAAAAAACAAATTTCTTACTTGGTTTTATTGTTCATAGATGAGAAAAGAAAATGGCTTTGGCCGAAAATAAAAGGTAAAAAAAATAAAAGAAGAAGAAGAAGAAGAGAAAAGATGAGAATATGAGAATATGATGTGTAAATTTTTATTAATGTATTTATTGTTGTCAAGGGAATAAAATATCTAGATAAATTTAAATCATTTTTACATGTTTATCCTTTATATATTTATAAGATAAGATGAAAAACACTATTTATTAAGTATAAACACAATTCAATCTTTTAATTAATGTAGTTCTTATGACACAAGAGCTTCATTTTCATGAGATTCTAATGAATGTGTTGGTTGAATATTTTGAACTTTAATTTTATAGTTAGACAAAGATTATGACATTTTTTTCTTTTCTTTTTTTTGAAAGATTATAACATTTTCAATTGTTATTTTATGAAAATTTTAAAAACTACATAATTTCATTTTCACTATTTAGGTTGAGAGAATTTTAAAATTCAGTGAGTTTTGTCAAAAATCTTCAATCTTATTTATACAAATTGTATGAATTTTTTTTGGAATGAAAATTTTTTATTTTTGCATTTTTTTTACTGTCTCAACCTATTATTCACAATATAAAGAATATTTAATGGCAAATTATATGATTTAATAACTTGATTAAATACTAATTTTCAAGATTAAAAATTAATTTCTAATGATGCAAATGCATTCTTATTTGTAGTAAAAGCGTCTTTGTTTCTTCTTTCCTTCCAGAATTAAAGAGTACTTTTTGTTTATTTGTTTGGACAGTACTAACAATAATTTTTTTTTTTGTTTTTTATGAAATTCAGAAAAAATATGACATTGAATGGCCAAGGTCAGTCATCTAGATTTCGCACCTTATGACGTGGACCAACTTACAGCCGCCACCTTTAGTGAGTAAATTCCAAAGGACCCTGTAGATGAAAACCGGAAATTGTGCTGCTCTGCCTTTCCACTCTCCTTACCCTCTCGCCGGAACCGAATCACCACATCGTCAGGCTCCACAATGTCCTTCTGTCTCACCCTCAATGCCCTCACACTGCGGCTGCAAACCCACCAACGATTCACCGTCCTGAAACCCAGACGACCGTCACGCATAATTGGTTCGCCTTCGAGGCTTACGCTTCTTAGGCCAATAAGGTCTGTACATAAGAGTTCCGACCCACTTCCCGTCGCTCCAGTGAAACCCAGATGGGTAAATGTGCTGCATACCGCAGCAAGCTTGTACCCTGTCTACGTTACGGCTGGAGGGATTCTGGCTTGCTTGAAACCATCTGCTTTTGCGTGGTTTGTGAAGCGAGGACCTACTTCGTATAGCTTGTCTCTTGGGTTGATAATGTTGGCCATGGGTGTGACTTTGGAGCTCAGGGACTTGATCGGTTTGTTCAAGCATAGGCCTCTCTCTGTGAGTTTTATATAATGTTGGCGGGTTAGTGGTTACTGTGGTTGAATGTAGATATTTGAATTTCAGGATCAATTGTGTTTTTCTTAATTGAAATTGTAAATTACTTAGATGAAATTGAGAAACTGGTATGATTCCAAGTTTTGATCTTTGAGTTGATACCGCGGAATTGGTTGGAAGTGATGAAGATTTTGGTCCAAATTGGTTCTATATATACATAAGTGAGCTCTTATTTGTTTTAAGAAATCTGCTTATGAAATAAGTTTTTCTATTGTCACATGTGGTCAGATTTTGTTCGGATTTATTGCCCAGTATGCAATTATGCCAGCTTTGGGGTTGATTATTAGCAAAATTTTGGGGCTTCCTCCATCTCTTTCTGTCGGTTTGATTTTACTAGGTTGTTGCCCTGGAGGCACTGCATCCAATGTGGTAAGTTTCCCTTGCTTTCATACTGTGCCTTTTCCCCTGTAGTCAATACTAGTGCTAGAGAAATATTGAATTCAAGTTTATTAGGTACATTCATTCTACTTGTTGAAATAGTTTTGCAGGTGACCTTAATTGCTCGTGGGGATGTTCCACTATCCATTGTAATGACAGTCTGCACCACTCTTGGGGCTGTATTTCTTACTCCTGTTTTGACAAAGATTCTTGCAGGAACTTATGTTCCAGTGGATGCTGTTAAACTTTCCATCAGTACCCTTCAGGTTAACGGAACCTAAGCCTGTCATATATTCTACATGTCATTGTCAGCTCTTCATCACTTTTATTTTTATTCTTGAAAATTGTGGTATTTATTGTGAATTGTGTAGGTGGTTGTTGTTCCAGTTCTGCTCGGTTCTTGCATACAGAACATATTTCCTGCTGCAGTGAAAATAGTGATACCTTTTGCACCACTTCTTGCTGTATTAACTTCATCACTACTTGCTTGCAGGTTCTGGCAACTGTTTGATGTGTCTTATTTTTAGGACCTTATGTTATTTTACTTTTGTTTCCCCTCTTAACTTCCGTATCTGGATTTCTTTCCAGTGTTTTTTCAGAAAATGTTGTTCGTCTTAGGTCCTCCATTGTTAGTGCACCATCTACATCTGATCCCTCATTCAGCTTGCAGTCAATATTTTCTGGAGAACTGGGTCTTGTTATACTTTCTGTTCTATTGTTACATTTCTTCGGTTTCTTTGTTGGGTAAGAATTGATTTTCATTTTTAATCTTTCAAAAAAATTTTTTTCTCTATTTCTGCACCCCCCTTTCTTTCTTTATATACATATATGTTTGTGTATGTGTGTATGTATGTATATCTGTATGTATGTATGTATGTATGTATGTATTTATGTATATTTTTTATGGTTTAGGCTTTATGCACTACCAGTGACTTGTTCCTCTGGGACAATTTTTGAAAGTTGACTATGCTTATGTTATCTACCAAAAACCTACCTCTAGCAACTCCATGGAGGCTTCTTTACCAAAGATCCTGGAAAGTGGTTCTACTTTATTTTAGATTTGGGCAATAATCACAAAGAATGCTACTTACCTTATAAACATGATCTGAACCATATGCAGTGCTCCAATTGATCTTTCTCAATCCCATTGTCCAAAGCCCATAAATCAATACCATTTTTGCACGAGTTAGAATTTCTTCCTAATGTAGTCTGTGTGATGAATGGAGATACCCCTAATTGTCTTGGTGGTCAAAGCTGCTTTATAGTGAACCATTTCATTTTCCTATGCTTTGTTTGTTGGTATTTTGATCGAGTTTTAAATAAAAGATAAAAAGTTCTTTGTCATCTCAGTAATGTAGTTTATAATCAAAGGGTTGTTTCTCTGCAGTTACTTTTCAGCAGCTATTTCTGGGTTTAAAGAACCACAACGTCGAGCAATATCAATTGAGGTATTATAACCACACAACTGTCCTTTTATTTTATTTTTTTTTACTGGAGGAGCTCAATTATGTATAAAATTGAAGTTATTTCTTTTAATATGGTATTTGTCAGGTTTAGCTCTTTGTTGTTAGCAACAATTCCATCCTTTACTAATTCATATACAAATACTGACATGCACCTGCAAAATTAACAAGCACAGACACACAATGTTGTTTGTAGTTCTGAAAGAATTGTTGCTTCCTAACAGATTGGCATGCAAAACTCTTCCTTGGGCGTGGTTTTAGCAACATCCCATTTCGCTTCTCCATTGGTTGCATTACCCCCAGCAATGTCTGCCGTGCTTATGAACATAATGGGAAGCAGTCTGGGGTTCATCTGGAGATATGTGGACCCATCTGATCCAAAGATTGAAACTTGATGAATAGTGACAGTGAAATTCAATCTTTTTCATCTTTCACCAATAAGATCTTAGTTCATGCTAATGTTGTTTGAGTTTGGTTAACAATGCAATAGATGCATTAGAAGGTTTCCACTTCCCCAGAAATTACTGTAGAAATGCAATAAAATATACCATCAATTATGTTGTGAACACAAGACAAATTACACAGATCATATCCTTGCAATAATACCTGACGTGTATTTCTTGTGCACCTTCTTGGGGGCTCATCTGGTCGAGAATCCAGTTTCTTCATCCTATCAACAAAGGTTCAATATTAAATAATGTTAGAAGGAGACAATACCTTCTAAATTTCCTAATCCCAAATCTTGACATGTATTGCAGATTAGTCTGTGTCAAATTATAAATTAAAAATCAGTAGATGAAAATGATTGTATTCATCTAATTTTTAATATAAAGGATCCATTCATTATTTAATACTATATGCAAAGTGAACTGCATAGAGTTTTAGTTATTTTAATTTTATGGAAAGATAGTCTAGAAACCATGTGCGGTGTGTGTTGCGACAAAGCCAGATCCTAGCATCAGGTCGTACGCATGTGCATGTGAATTTACATGGGGCCACGTAGGCTGTCGCATATTTAAGTAAAAGGATGAAATGTTGATTTTAGTCTCTAAATTATGTATTTTAAACACTTTTGATCCCTAAATTATTTTTA